GAATTTAGAAAATTTTTCCGAACAGTTCTGAAAATTATTGGTTATTTTAAGAAAAGAAAGAAGAAAATTTGATCATTAAGATTGCAACTAGATTAGCTGATAATTTATAATATAAAAAATGACATCAAAAATTTTGTTAACAAAATTATGAATTGAATTGAATCATTATTTTTCAGTTGTTATTGATTTATTGCAGAATTTATTTATTTCGATTGAAATTAGAGAATTTAGTAATTATGTCATATTTATGTTTCATGAAAAGCTGAACGCTTATGACCGATTGATATCAATAGCAATCATTCTGAAATTTTTTGACAGAAAATTTGATAGAATTCGGGTCATCATATAGTGCTGTCAATTTCATTCATATTTGTTTTCAATATTTTTAAGTCAGACTTCTCAAATTTTTTCATTTCCTTCAACTGCACAATTATTTATTTCCATTATTGCTCAAGTTGATTATTGCATCAAAAAAGCTTTCAGTGAGAAAAAAAAAAGTTAATTAATTTTGATATATCATTTTTTTGATCAAATGGAATTTATTAATTTCTTTCGTATTCCTGAAATATTATTATTCTAAAATTTGAGTTAACTTTTTTTTTTTTTTTGAAAGATAGTTAAATTAAAATTCTAGATATCGTCATGAGAGTTAATTTCAAATTATAGATGATGAGTGGCAGTTGGAACAGTGATGCAATGGTCAATTCACAGGCAACTTATACAATTGCTGGACCGGTGAATTATTTTACTAAAATTCACCGAAGAATTGCTTTTTTCAAAAAAAAAAAAAAAAAGATTACTGTACTGCGATATGATAAAGGAAGAAATACATTATTGATTGATAGATTTTAAAACTTGAATAGATTTTAAAACTTGTATGAGAAAGGATTGAATTTTATGACCGGATTGGATTTTGCCTTCATTTAACTTAAACTTGTTATTATTAGCTTTGAAATTTGATCAAAAATTAATGCTTAATTAGTTGAAATTTCAAATCTACTTCCTTTCTATCAATAAAGATTTCCTGAAATTTATTTGCTCAGCTGTCTCAATAATTAAATTTGATATGACCGAAATTCTATTTCCTGTAAGGTTAAATTCGGCTCGTTTTTTCCATGGTTCACTTGAAACTATAAGCAACAAAACACATTATTCTATAGTAAATTCTGACAAAATTAGCGCTTTTATTCCTAGCAGCTATCGAATGCTATCAAAAATTTTCTTTCCATTTTGAAATGAGCAATTCATATTCCATTCGTTAATCATAGCCTTATAGATAAATTTATAAACCAAAAGATAAGAAATGGTGGTTGATTTTTTTTCTTTTCATTTAATTCAATCTTATTTATGTGATCAATGAATGTTGAAAGTTCAGATAGGTCGAAGTCATTATCAATTACTGGAAGAGATTGAATGTCCAAGTGAGCTAATTGAAGTTGACGATGATATGCCATATCCACCATGTAAGTTATGTGATTGTCAAAGTATTTTCAATTATTCATAATTTAATGCAAATTTCATTAGCGTCTTTATTAATAGCATGCCAAAAGTTAGCGCTTTAAGATTTCCGAAATCCAGTCAAATTTTTGAAATTTTTAAAAATTTTGTGTTTATTGAAAGAAATATTTCGATATTAGAGTGAATAGTCGGTGCTATTTTTTTGCTCGAAAGGATTGATGAAATTCTCGTGGAGATTTTGAAGTGATAGCTATCATTTGATTACTTTTGAAAAATTGCTACTCAACATTTTTACATTTAATTTTTTTTTTTTTAAACTATATCGAGTATAGAATAGGGTTGATTAAATCGTTGAAAAGTGCAATATTTCGTATTTTAACAAAAATTTATTGAATTTTTTTTGATTGATATTAAAATTTTTACATTTATTGTTTACCTCTACATATGTTTCTGCTCGGAAGATTTTTCGAATCTTTTTTGTTTGCACTAAAAATGTTATAAATTTTTCTGAGTATGAAAAGAAGAATTTTACAATTATTTTTCACGAAAGTTCTAGGCAATGTAGAGCAGCTGATCTTTCTCTAAATTGTTAAGCTGATTAGAACTTTTCAAAAATACTACGAAAAAAAAAGAACAAAAATCATATTGAGTTAAATTTAAAAAATTTTTTAAACTAAAAAAATTTTTGTTTTGAATAAAAATCAAAAATTTTAACTCATAATTAGAAATATTGAAGATACGCTAATTTAAACTATTCAAGTTTTAAAATAAAATAAAATAAATCTGTAGATGAACAAAAAAAGAGAAAATAAACTGAATATTAATTTAATAGTAGTGATAGAGGAAAAAAAAAATGATTTTATTACTGTAAATTAAAAAATTTTTTTTCAGTAAATACTAGTTTAGTTCTGGAAGAATCACGTATCGGTGTTGATCGTCTTCCGATCGTGGATGACAATTTATCCACTCCATTGGTGGAGTATGCTCCTAGCAGTGATTCACAACAATATCAACAACAACAACAACAACAACAATATCAACAACAACAACAACAACAATATCAACAACAATATCAACAACAACAACAACAACAACAACAAAATCAGGCTTATATGGTGGATAGCTATGCAAATCATCTTTACAATGCATATCAGACCAGAATTGATTTACCTACTGAGATTAAAAGTAATTTACCGGTAGCACAACTTATTCATCCAGATGCATTATCATATGGATCGGAATTTCCACGGCAAATATCAGTTGCATTATCATCACCTGCTGAAAGAGTTTCATCGAGTATGAGTATTGATTCGACAATATCCGATGATATTACCATTGATCCTAATCATTTAGCAACACTTCATGATCAGTTGGAACAGCAATCACTTCCTGTATCTCTTCCATCGGAACAAGAAACATCACCGGAAATACCGGTAAATTATGAACAAGAAATATCACATGAAAAAACACCTGAAATACCGGTAAATAAGAATTTGGCATAAAAAAAAAAATTCTTAAAGTTGCAAAAAATTGATTATAGCAATAAAAATCTATTCCTTCTATTTCTGCATACATGTTTTTTTTCTTTTTAAATCTTTTCGAAATTAATAAATTTGTTGAAATTCTGCTTAATACGATAAAATTTGATTTAAAATTTGAATGAATAATTCTCGAATTTAAAATTTTAATCACTACTTGCAGACAACAAGTATGAAAGTAACAAAACCGGAATTAAATTGTTGCAAACCGGAAAATGATAATTTAACAATTATTAAAGAATCGGAACAATCAAAAGAACAATCACAGTATAAGAATGTAACGATGGAAAACTGGGAAACTGTACGAAAAGAAGAAAAAAAAGAAAAGCCAAAAAAGCCAAGACCGGTAAGTTTTAGCTTGTTCGAAATTGTAAAACTATAATAGCAAATTTATTTAGCTCTTTTTCTTTCTTTCTTTCTCTCTTTTTTAAAGACAATTTCTCAATTAAAAGAATAAAATTTAATTTAATGAAACAGATAACTGTCAAGAAATTTTAGCTCTCAATACGGGAACTTCAAAATGCTCCAGTACCCGTACGACCACCAAAACCAAAACCACCTTCTAAATCGCAGCTATTAATGGAGAAGCTTAAAGCAAGTATTGAAGCAGATAAATTAAAACCAAAAAAGGATATCAAATCAAAACTTCATGATCTTGTAAGCGCACCTGTTCGACGTCCACAACCACAAACAACTTTTGATAAAGATGAAGGTTTTTTTTTTTTTTTTTCATTTTCAGTAATCCAATTTAATAGCTAAATAATCTTGAATGAAAATTTAATTTTCAACAAAATTAAGATTTGCAAAAACTTCAAGCATATCCAGCATGTTTACATTTTCTTTTCTTTTTTTTTTTATAATATCAAAATTTTGAAACTAACAAAATTCTTGCTTTGAAAATGAAAAAATTTTCAAATTTTATGCTTTTCACGATTATAACTGTGTGCTTTTTATTCTTATTTTTATTAAATCTTACTGAAACATTATTAAATTTTACTTAAATGAATTTATATTTAAATTTATATTTGTTTGCGACCGCATTTTATACCCGCATATATCTTTCAACAAATATGATGAAACTTTCGACAATTGGAGAAATATCAATTTTGCTCCGTACTGCATATAATAATAGTAACAGTAGTAGTTGTATTGGAGAACATTTGTGTGCGGGTCGGAGGTCAAGTGATCTTGTCACTCTCAGTTTTTCTTTTCTTTTTTTTGTTCACGAACAAAACATATTCAAATGCGGCAATTAACCATTTTTTAAAAATACTTCTTTAATTTAAGTAAATTCCATAAAAATGAATTTTAAAAAATCATATTTTTTTAAAGCACCAATTCACTCAATCTAAATGTTGAAGATTTGGCAGAAAAGCGCTAAAATTAATTTCATTTTCACTCAGATAATTTTTTAATAATTTTTAAGTGAAAATCTGACGCAATTCGTGTTGTTTCACTTCTGAGATCTCTCTTATAAACAAACAACTATTTGCAAATGTTTTAAATTTTCTCTATAAATTCTTAAATTTTAGAAACTTAATGATCTATGAAGGATTTTCTAAATCTTTTTTAACTTTGATTTTAGTAGTGAAAAAATAAATGGATCATCTTCCCTGAATACACAAAATGAAATCTAAAATTCATTAATTCAATATTTCATTTTTGATCAGTTGGAGTGGAAATTATCCAATGAAATATTCTCAATTTAATTTATTTACTATCAACTGATGATTTTTTATTTAAAAGAAGATAATTTAGTAAAAATGACATCTGTGATTTGTCATAATCGATTTTATAATTTCCTTCGCTGCTAATAATTAACAATTATTTTCGAAGCTGAGAAATTAAGTTAAATGATAGAAATGTTTTGCTACAGCTGTTGTTATTGTTGTTGATTTCAAAAAAAAATTCTTCTTTTCTCATTATACATTTATCACTCTTACTAAATTAATAATTATCAATTAGGCAAAATATTTGTTTGGAATAAATATTTCGAAATTATTTTCGAAGTCATTAAAATCTTTTTTAAATTAAAATTTTAAAATCATTCTTACTAAATTAAAATCATTTTCACTTTCATTTCTCTTAGAAAAAAATTGGAAATTTAGGGAATGAATTTATTGAAATAATTTAATTTCATTTGTATAGAATTATTCAATTACTGATTTTCTAACTGATCAACAAAACAACAATTGTTTAAGCCAAATTGTAACGATTATTTTTGCAAAGTTAAATTCAGTCTGCAAAATTAATATTGTGTAGTATAGCTGCTGTAAAAGAAAAATAATTGCTGTAAAATTTAGTTTTACAATTTGAAATTATTTCATTTTTTAAGGGTTCCAATTTCTATCCAATATCTTCCAAAATTTTTTCCTTATTTTAATATTATGATTTATTTTAGAATATTTGATGATAAATAGTTCACTTCCCGTCTCGCATCATTTCTTCCCCGCAAGATTTAAAATAAACTTTCTAATTGATAATTAATAGTTTATTTTAATGAAATTAAATTTGATTAAACCTTGTTGTCAATTAAACAATGTCTAATCCCATTCAATGCTTTTTAGTAAACTCTAACCTTTCTGTATTAGTTTTTTTCTTGAACAAATATTATCTGATTGATTTGTTAATTTCATTCTATACACTGATAATATTATCTTTTATTGTAATAAAAATATGTTGAAGAAAATTGTTCCGCATATTTTTCGATTTTTCAATTTCAGAAAGATAAGAAAGTGATAAAGAAAAATTAGCTTTTGTGAAATGCTCCATCTATTATTGATGAAAATCGATGATATAAACGTTATTGTTTGATTTTAAAAATGTTTATATAAAGGAACGAAAACATCTAAACGATGGCAAAGGAAAAAAATTATAAATTTCAGAAATGCAAATTTAAAATTGCATAGATGGAATTCATTTTTCTAATTTTTTAAACTTTTTTTTGTTTCACATATTTTTTTGATAAAAACGATCAAGTTAGAAAAATTAAATATTAAGGTGGAGATTTTGTGGCTGCACGCAAGAAAATTGGAAAAATCAAACGATTAGAATTTCAATTTTTTTTTGTTTGTTTAAACTTTTGCAAGAATAGCTTTTTTATTGAAAAGATTAAAAAGTAGCCATTTATCTTATCATTTATTTCTTTTTAATTGAAAATTTTTTGAACTTACAAAATGTCCATTAAATTTTAAGAATGAATTTCCGTATTTCTTTTTTGTTCTATCTGATTTCTCTATCATTTGAATGTTCATTTTTTTTTTTGAGGTACTTTTTCAGTCATAAATTTGATATTTGGAAAAGTTTTAAGTTTTGTTTGAAATTCATTAAATATAATGGTCACCATTGTGGTCATTATAAAATCCCTTTTTTCCATTTTAATTCTCAATTAGAAGCGATATTTGATAGGATCAGATAAATTATAAGTGAGGTTTACTTTGAAATATCTGACAATATCAAATTGTCAAATTCAATATCATTGTTGTTTCTTTTCTCGGTACTTTTCTTCAATTGATCCCTAATATGCTCCTTTGGAATTATACTTTGAAATTATCGATGATATGCTATATTAGAAGTGTTTTTTGAAATTATCAGTGATATGCTTTTTTAGAAGTGCACTTTGAAATTCTCAGTAATATGCTCTTTTGAAAGTATATTTTGAAATTTTTTTCCTGGTTTATAAATCATCGAAAGACTGACATCGTATACGTTAGTCTTTCAGCACAAATGATATTTTCAAGATGATCACAAGAAAATTGAGCTCAGTTTACTTTGAATTTTAAAATCCTTCTTTCCAATCACCTGTTAAAATAAGAATTAATCATTCCTTCCTTTTTTTTTTTTAAATTCATAGTTTATACGATTAAAGGATGAGTGCTAACTTTAAAGGATTAAATTTCAATCCATTTTTCTATATCATACTGTTTTGGATATTCATAACACTATTCCAAATATTGATTTAATTAATTCATGAAATTCATCGCGTATTTCAACTAAAACATAAATTTCATAATGCAATTTACTACTGATAAATGATAGCGTATTCTTTAATTATTTACACATTGATGTATTATCAATAGCAATTTGTTATCTTGCATTTAATCAATCTTATTGAAGCATTGAAAATATACGATATATTTGACGTTGTTTATCAATTTGATGGAAGGGTTAAAAATGTTATCAGTAAATCAATTAGATGTAATTTATTGAAAAAATGAATTTGATTCTCTAAATATATTGTGTTTTGAGTAAAAAAGGAAAAAATATTCACTGATGTCACATAAATGCTTGTGGAATGAGATTTAAATTTTTTAAACCAATTTTTTTTTTTTTTTTGATAAATTTGTTTCATTTCAATCAATTAAATATTTGATGTGCTTATGTTACACATACATTTGCTGCAACTCAATTTATCATATTCATTAATCAATTATTCATCTAACGATGGATAATTTCAAAGGGAGTAAAAATTATTGCAAATATTTATCTTCAATGAATAATTGTTTATGTATTGTTTATGTTATGTTATCCTTTTGATTAATTTAATTGTTTATATTATAATATTATTGCTATTAGAATATAGCTAATATTATTTAAAATAAGAAATGAATAGATGCGAAAAAAAATGCATAGAAAATAAGTTTCTATTGAAATACGCATCGGTCGATAATATCATCTAAAATAGTTGCTAAACAATGAAATAAAATCGTTGCTGTTTTTTTTTTTTTTCATCTGAATTTATTCCAAGTTTATTGTTAATTCTCAATTAGGTCGAACTTCTTTGGTAGTTATTTTAGATGGCATTATCGATCGATGGATATTTGTAATGAAAGTTCTACCAAATATGAAGTAGTGCGCATTGAAAAAGTTGGCAAAAATTCGTCATTTTTCGTCATTATCTGTCCTATTTATTTTCATTTTTATTCTCAGGGGATTTCTCGAATCGATTATCTCATATCATATCATTTTACTTTTCATATTCTTCTCAGTGATACAAGAAATGTTTAGCTCATTCTCTTTCACTTCAAAATATTAAATCTAAACGTGAATTTTCTAATGTTTAATTTTAATTTATCTATTTCAAATGTTTACATTCAAATATCTCAATCGATAAAACTATCTGATAAGATTTGCATATTGGAGCAAAATATTTAATTATTATAATTTTTCATTATCAAAATTTATTCTAAAATTAAATTGTCTTTTCGTACTAAAAATAAATGCTACTATTTTTAAATGGTATTTCATTTCCATACTTTCTATACTTAAATATTTTTATTAATTACTGTTAATTATTTTTCACACTTAAGAAACGATTGAATACAATAAAGTTTAATTCTGTTCGTTTTTGTTCACAATTATTAATGTGAAAAATGATGCATATTTTACAGTTTGCGCATGCCTTTTTTTGCCTATATCTTTTTTCATGCTTAAAGACTAAATTTGTGTTTGAAAATTTGTTTTTAAATATTTGGCGCCTAAAGACCAAATTTGTGATTGTGAAATTTGTTTTGCCATATTTTACGCTTAAAGGCTAAATTTGTGCTTCTTGGAATTTACTTTGCGTATTTTTGCGCTTAAAAACTAAATTTATGTTTTGAAATTTATTCTGCAATTAATTTATTCCTTAATTTTTGTTTGTAGAAGAAAAGATGTCTCCGGATGAAGAAAGCAAAAAATTATTGCAACCGTTATCACCAAATGCAAAACGTCGACGAAATGAGGCACAAAAAACGGGAAATTCACGTATGCAACCTGAACGACTTCGATTATCACAACAATCTGATAATAAAACAACAGGATCGGTACGATCGCATATAAAATCGCGACAATCGTTAATTCAACCGAAAACTGTCCACAAAGGTAAATGAGTGTGCTTATTTTGCTAAATAGTTCATTTGAATAAATTTTATTTTCTGAATTAGCAATTATACAACTACTGTCGCTATGGCATTTTTTTTTTAAAGCTGTGAAGTTTTTTGAAATTTAATTTCTTCCTCTTAATTTATTTAATTTATTAAAGTATTAAATTGCACGTAATATCTTTACGGTTTACATGAATCATTTATTTTTCATTGTAATTTTCAAATTTTTGACAAATTTATAAATGAATGATAAATGATGTGGAGAATTTTTAACATTTTAAGTTTGGTATTATTGAATATATTTTATTTTGGGAAAGTCAATTCAACATTTCATACTTTAATCTCATTTATTTATTATTGAAATTTTTTTTCGATGAAATTGGAGTGCAATTTTTACTTACTTACAGATTATTATACTTTGATGGTAACTTCTCTTCCTAAAATTTTATATAATACGGAATTTGCATAGATTCGAGAGATAGATCAAAATTTAAATCCTTAGTTTACATTAATAAGGTATGATCTTATAACTTAAGATTAGCAAGATTGTATTCTTCGGAAAAATTTTTTCATCTTTCTTCCAAAATTCGATCCTTGTCGAAAATAAAATTGAATAGAGATGAAACTAGTATTACTGTCGTAAAGATAAGTTACCAAAGTTTGTGTTATTTAAAGCTAAAGCTTAGGTTAAAGATGAAGTTAAGGCTAAGATTGAGGTTAAGGCCGTACGTTTTCTTGAAATGTCTCTTCTCAACGTGTAATTTAAAATTCTAGCTGTAAACAAATTTATTTATACTTTTCATGAAATTAATGTTATTAAATTTAAATTAGATATTATTTTTAAGTTTGCGCATTTCTTTTTTTGAAATTTGATTTATTCTTTTATTAAAACACTAAATTGACGTGATAACTTCATTGTCAGCATAAACCATTTTGCACTAATTTTTCAATTTAATTTCTATTGGTTGCTAATACTCATACATCAAAGTATTCATAAAACTTTTAAAAGTATTGATAATTGTTTAAATAATTGCATTCCATTTTTGAATTAAATTTTAAAATGAAATAAATTTTAAATGAGAAATGATTGATTGATGGATGTTTTTGTTTAGGCTCAGTTGCAGTGCGATCTGAAAAGTTGAAAAAAGAAACTTCTCGAGAGCTTCCTAGGACTTCAAATTCTAAATCAGTGCCTCAGTCCTTAAGTGTAGCTAAATCGGAAGGTAAGCCATCAATTTTCTTCTCAAAATAATAAATTTTCATCAGATTGAAAGTTATCTGGCAGAATTGATATCATTACTCTCAATCTAATATCGATTATACCATTCAACTAGGAAGAAAATGCAAGAAAATCGGGAATATATGAGAAATTTGAATCTTAACTCTTATTGATGATATATGATCGGATGAAATCAATTTGATCAAATTGAAAATAATTTTTATGGAAAAATTTTAACAATTGCAAATAAATTTGCGTTTATTTTTTGTTTTAAAATTTTGAAAATTTTTGAATAAAACGATCATTTTATATCATTTGTAGTTTTTTTAATTTGTAAACAAATTATTTCAAATTTCTCCGCCACTTTATTGATTCGACAAAATTTAGCATATTATTTGCTATTTTATACTGCATAAATGGAAGAGGTCATTGAACTGATTTCTTTTACAGATTTCAAAATTAGTATGAAATGCTCGGGAAATGGACTTGTTAATTGGATGAAAAGATTAACAAGCTAATAAAACCTTTTATCTCTCCATCACACTTCTTAACTGTCCCCAATTTCCCACCACCATACTTGGATTAATTTTCCTGTGAAATGATTGAGCAATTGATTTTATATATTTGAGTTTTTCCTCAGTTTAAATTCGGCAACTTTCATTCGCTACAAGAATTTATATGTATCTAAAAGTAATTTCGATGATCTAAATTCAATTTTCTTTATGATCATCCGCGGTACCATTACATTTTTATGATCGCATTTGCAAGAATTTAATATTTTATTACAACCTATAAAAATGCTCTCACCTTTCAAGTTTCAATTAAACTTTCAAATTTGCTTGGATTATTTCAAGTAAAATTTAAATTCATTCATTTCCTTCTATACCGTTGAATGATCATAAACTGTGTTTAGCAATAATTCAAGGGTGATTTACTGTATTATCAGTTGATGAAAATGTAACCTAAAAGATTCAAATTTGATAAATTCAATTAGAGCAGTTTATTGATCCGAAATTTTTACATTATAAATTTAAATACATTTCATTTAAAGATTTAAAGTTGCATTACAGTATTATTAGAATGAATCATTGTTTATCATTTAAATTTCTTCTTGATCGATAGTTTCACAAGCAAAGAAACGTGAAAATTATAGAATTTTTATCATTTCTTAATTAGTTCAAATTTGGTATAACAAATTCTTATGTATAATTAAATTTCGAATTGCATCATTTTTTTTATAAAACGTTAATTGGATTACTTTTTCTTTTTTGTCTTTATAGCGCAGCATTCCGGTTTACCGACATCATCTGCAACACATCAATCACTTAAAATTCGTAAACCCGGAAAACAACCTACCTCAATGATCATTGAAACAGGTCACGATTAGTAATTAATTAACTCGACCGATTATTACAAATTAAATTTTTTTTTTGTTTCAATTAATATTATTACAAATTAAATCCAATTCATATTATTACAAATTAAATTTTTTTTTTGTTTCAATTAATTTTATTTCTGCTGAAAATATTCGGATAGTTCATGACGATTTCAAATTGTTATCGTAATTTCAAGGTAATACGCAACATTACTGTTGTTTTAAAAAGGATTTTCTTACTTTCTGATTGATAGAAAAATCTAAATTTATCATATTGATTAATAAATTTGCTGAAAAAAATTTGTAGCAGAATTCAATATTCTATTCTGTAAATTTATTGGAATGTATTAATATTTCAATTATCAGTCATTTAAAGATTTTAAAAGAGTATGAAAATAAAATTTAACCAAAATTTAAATCAATATTCAGTACGAGAATTGTTATTTATTTTGATGAGGCGCTATTCGGTGCAATATGCCATAATCCACTTTTGAGATGTTTCGATATTCTTTATGGAAGAAGAAAATAGATGTTAAGAGATTTATCTTAATTAATCCTAATTTAAGATTAAATTATAAAATTTAATAAATCGAATTTTATCGCAGCTCTTAAATTTTCCCATCAAACCGATTACTAAAACTTTAGCACGGAAGAAGCCTCATTTACGTCGATGAATTCTTATTATTACTGAAAAATATCCTTAAATGAAATGCGCAATTTTCAGTCTTCAAATAATTTCCGTTTCAAAAGATTCATATTTCAAATTTATTTCATATTTTAAATTTATTAAGAATTAAGAGGTGTAATTTATTACGAGAATAATTACCTATTGTGGATTTAATTTTTAAAAAAAAAAGTTTTATTTTTAGATGACAATTTAAAATTAAAACGATTAACGGATGCAATTCGTGCATTTGACATCCTTGCTATTGTCTTCAAACAGCAAATTCAAATGGTAAATTTATATTTAACTTTTTTTTTTTTTGTTTCTCACTACTTCTCACTCTTTCACTATTATCAAATTAATTTTGATCGGATGGTAAAAATCAAAGAAAAATTATTTTTTAATAATGATAGAATGCTGATGCTGATAATGACAGTGATAATGTCTTTAATGATGATAATGTTAATAGGCCATTTTTGATATCGATTCAATAAATTTTGAACAGTAATTTAAACTGATATTTCAAAATTAATTCGCTAGTTGTAAAAATTTCATCAAAAGAAAGAAAACATTCATTTGGGAAGTAAATTTTTACAAAATGTAGTTCATTTATATTCACTTAAATTCGACAATAATAAAAGTTAAAATTTTTTTTAATTTTGAAATTCGAAGAGAGATGTTGAAAAGAAATTTTAATTTCAAATGGTGTTATTACGATCAATTACTAATTCTATAAATTTTTAGTACAATGAAGAATTGCATGAAGCATTTGAAAAAAATCGAAAATGCGGTATGTTTTTTTTTGATTTCAAGTTAATTTTGTGAAATTGATTCAAATGAAAAAAAAAAAAATTTAAGCATTGAAATGAATTTTTCAATCAATAAATTCCTAATCTCCTTTATTCTGGGAATGATTTATTAGATAGGCGTAGAGAGGAAAATTTTAAGATATAAGAAAAAGCGTTACATTATTCAGGTAAATTTATGAATTTTCCCCAGAGAGAAAAGTATTTCAATATTTGAAATTTGATTTTTGAACAATTTTTTATTTTAAAGTTATTCCAATGATCATTTCTTATCATTAATGTTCATTAATTGTAATGATTGATTTTTGGGTGAATTTAAAAAATTGGCTAAAACCAAATGATTAATTTGCAGTGCAATGAAATTTTTTTCCTGTTTTAACAAAAAATTTTAATTGAATTTTTGACAATAAAACGAAAAGTTTTTTCTTTTTTTCTTCCATAAAAATAAAACGATATTTGGGACAACAAATTTTTAAAAATTGAACGCTGCACTGATTAACAAAATATGATTAGTGCAACGATTAGGTTGAAATTATCAGAAATTACCGAATTATTAAAAGTTACAATTAATTTTTTTCCTTTTTTTTTTGTAGTTTTACATAAAAATGCCGATTTTAAATAAAATTCAAAATTTATTCACTTATTAATTTTAGCATTGAATAAATAAAAAGATGAAATCCGAACTTTTCTATTAAATTTCATTTTTTGTGTAAAATTAAATTGAAATTTATGTTTGCAGAAAGAATTAGCATATTTTAGTGTGCCATATGAAAGCATTAGAAGTTAAATACGAGCAATTAATGATAGCAATGAACAGCGATCATACTCGACAAATTGAAAATGGTTTGTGAAATTTTTCATGCATTATTTAACTTTTAGTACATTCATTTCGTGAGATCATTCACATTTACTGCAACTCTTTCTCTTTTTTCTTTTATCAATGATAAATTGCTTAAATGTAAAAGAGAGAGCAGTTTAGAATTTATTATCATTTCATTCTCCCTTAATTTCTTATCAACATTTCATCCTTTTCTCATTTCTGCCACACAAATTGATGATTGCTATCGATTGATTGCGATTTATTTGAGCGAAATCAATTTCGAGTTTCAAAATTGATTCCAGTAAAAAAAGTCGAAAAACAATAACTTTTATAATCAAAATATAATAAACGGATTATCATCTATTTCATGATAAATTCATTCATTCGATCGCTTTCATTTTGTATTAAATTAACACATTAAATTAGTAAGGCAAGAATGATTGCTCAAATTATATCATTATATCAATCACTTTAATTTTTTGCAATTTAATTTCCATATAATTTAAATGAAAATTTAAATTTGTTCTTGCAAAAATTTTCAATAACAATACGCATAAATGCAAAGAAATGCTTTAACATACTTTTAAAGAAATAAACGTCCAGAAGAAATTTTTTAATTTTTTAAGAGTAAGAAGAAGAAAGTGAAATAAAATAAAATAAAAAATGATAGTAGCATAATAAAAGTTTTTCCTTTTTTTTTTCTTCCATTTTGGTGGATTCTTTGTGTGAAATTTGTTTCACTTATAATTTCATTCGTTTTTAAAATATACGTGTAATTATTGAAAAAAAAAAATGTTCATTTTGTAGATGATGTGTGACACTTTGCTGTAATTTATGTCTTTCATTCATTTTTCTTCATTGCTCCTTTCACTTCATTCATCCCATTTTTGAAGACCTTGAAAGCAAGTTATTTTCTAAACTGTATCAAAAAAAAACTTTTTTTTTTTTT